AACCAGATTTTCTCTGCCCACTTTCCACATCAGACATATGACACGTGGTGCTACAAATGTATATATTTCCCAAACGTCTGACCATGAAAATGCCCAATCAGACATCAAGATATGGTGGATAATATTCAATTTTCTAAATTTATTTGACTGTTCTGGGTATACACGTAAGCTTATACTGGTGGATAATATTCAATTTTCCAAATTTATTTGACTGTTCTGGGCATACACGTAAGCTTATACATGTATCTATCTCTCATCAAGATTATCGTTGATAAATAAGCTGGATTAATTAGGTAATTAAGTGATCAACTATCAAGATTATTGCTGACATTAGGCTGGATTGATTAGGTAGTTAAGTGACTAACGTAATTATCGTGGTACATGTATACCGCCTATACACTTACATACATGTTCATGTACCTTGATTAACTACTTAATCTGTCTTGATTGGGTAACTTAATTCTTTATCAATCCAATCCCGCAAAGAAGTCATTGCTTGTCTTTTGTCAGACTATGTATCAATCCAATAAGAGTGATCATAAAATAAACCTATGTGAATAACCTGTGATTTCTCCATTGTCGGACATTTTAATCTCCTGGATGTCGGCCGACTACATGTAGAAACTAGTCATATATATCCTAATAACATCCCAAACCAATAATTTTTTACGTGCATGAATTTAAAACTGGTACAGGTCAACAGTAGTTAGCATGCTTTCATTCTATCGTATTACGGCAACATGTAATTTTGTAGGAATACTACTAGCATAAATTTGAATATCACAGATCAACAACATGTAGAATTTTTTACGTGCATTAATTTGAAACTGGTACCGGTCAACAGTTGTCAGCACGCTTTCATTCTATCGTATTACGACAACACGTAATTTTGTAGGAATACTACTGGCATAAATTTGAATATCACTGATCAACAATTATATTGGTCACACCAAAAACTTTTAGAAAAGGTAACTTATGCAATCCAAGTCAATAAATAATAACTGATTGCTAAGACAAGTAGAGAAAGTCAGACATATTAATCACAGTAAGGGTCCATTTTGGGCAATTTAAGTAAACATAGATAATAATTTATGATGTTCAGGCGCTACAACAAATAATTGGTCTGTAAAACTAGTTATAATACTGACAATCTATACAAAACAAAGTCTGGAATTCAGAAATCCTTTACCATTTGTCAATTTTATGTTGACAAACTTACTGATAGAGCCTTAATTCAGTCAGTGCACATGTTAGACCACTCCGTCTCGATGACCCATATCCCCAATTAGGAAAGATGTTGTTTGTCTTAATAAATGATTTGACCTAAAGGGTACAAATACAAAATCTTATAATGTAATATAATCATAGATTCTACACTTTGTAGGTGTACATCAGTCAGGAAATTGACATCTTCCTGTGTAGTCAGTGTGAATTATAAAACCATCTACTACTGTGGTCTAAAGTTAAACATGAGTTATTGAAGAATACACCCTATAGCATGTGCAAAAGAATGGTGATTAAAGAGCTAAATTGATTTAGTACACAGAAAACTTGGATGCTCCAGAAATTTAATAGTACAGACACATAAAGTTGCACAATACCTGTATATTACAAGACTATACCTTATAGAATTCACAATAGACATACATGTACATGTAAATAAACAAGATTCAACAAGCCAACAGTGAGGCTGATGTCACCCGCCGAAATCCCCAAATAAATAGATGACACATAGTATCAAGCAATCAAACTGATTATCAACTATACACTAAGTTTCATCACTCTCTATCAGATAGAATCAAAGTTATCTTGTCCCAAAGCAGGAAATTGCTTATCGCTGCTTAGCTTTAGCTCGATATGTTAATCATTGAACTCAGTCAAGACGAACATCTACATCAAGTTTAAACATTCTACCTCAATTAGAAGAAGAGTTGTTATGTTCCAAAGTCTTGACCAATCAAAATGCTTATTGCTCGTTAGCCTATGCAGAAAATTTTCATCATCAAACTTAGTCAAGGTATTGATGTAATGAAACTATACACCAAGTTTCATCACTCTCACTTAATTAGAACTAAAGTTAATCGTGTTCCAAAGCATCAACCAATCAAATTGCTTATCTCTGCTTACCCTAAGCCAAAAATGCGGATCTTTGCACTCCATCAAGGCATTGACCTCATAAACACCTACACCAAGTTAATTAGAAGGAGAGTTATTGTGTTCCAAAGTCTTGGCCAATCAAATTGCTTATCGCTCTGCCTACCCTGAGCAGAAAATGCTCATAATCGAACTTAGTCAAGATATTGATGTAATGAAACTATACACCAAGTTTCATCACTCTCACTTAATTGGAACTAAAGTTTTCGCGTCCCAAAGCATCAACCAATCAAATTTCTTATCTTTGCTTACCCTCAGCAGAAAATGCTTATCTTCACACTCCATCAAGGCATTGACCTACTAAACACCTACACCAAGTTTGACCATTCTAGCTCAATTAGAAGGAGGGTTCTTGTGTTCCAAAGTCTCGGCCAATTAAATTGCTTATCACTCTGCTTACCCTGAGCAGAAAATGCTCATCATCGAACTTAGTCAAGGTATTGATGTAATGAAACTATACACCAAGTTTCATCACTCTCACTTAATTGGAACTAAAGTTATCGCGTCCCAAAGCATCAACCAATCAAATTGCTTATCTTTGCTTACCCTCAGCAGAAAATGCTTATCTTCACACTCCATCAAGGCATTGACCTACTAAACACCTACACCAAGTTTGAACATTCTAGGTCAATTAGAAGGAGAGTTATTGTGTCCCAAAAAGTGTGACGGACAGACGGACGGACAGACAGACAGACGGAAGGACGGACGAACCCATTTTAATAGTCCCCTGCTTTCTTCGAAAGGCGGGGGACAATAAATTCTAATCTATGGGTAGACCCTTATCTTATAGACTTTATAAATTGAAATCTTTGAAAAGTTGAGAATCTTCAGTCATTTATTGCTTTGCCTAGCCCAATTACAATAATTTACAATCAATTTTTTCCACCCAGGCTACCTAAATTTTGTTTATACTATATGACCGAGTACGTAAATTTGTGCGTTACCCTTTCAATGAAGTCGGTTAGAAGACGGCGACATATTTTTTAACAGCGCGTTGTGTCGCTTATACTGGTTTTAGCGAGGTCTTATTTTCTCACTAAGATGTTCAGTTACATTGTTCAGGAGTTCACAGGGACTGACACGCGACCGTTTAGCAGTAAAAGTTGCCCAGTAAAATTGCCTGGGAAGCGATTAGATTTTTGACAAGGATTCAATAGGACAGTTCCTGCAAGTAGAGGGCGAGTGTAATGAGACTTACATTCAGAGCTGAACTACCATCCCAAACTTAGGCTGCCTGTCTACAGCTAGCTCCGCCTGAGAACAGGCCCTAAGCTAATTACCCGACATTTTAATTCCTACATCGACGATTTTAGTCGAAAACACTGAGTATGCTTTTAGTAATTTTTAGATGTATTTATTTCTCTTCTATTGTCATATTGAATGAAATTAAATATGTTTATTTAACCGCTGTGTGTATGAAAGATGTCAAACTAATCAAAGCCGAATCACAAAATAGTCCTCTAATTATTCAATATGGCGGCGCCCCAAAAAAGGTAATTTCACAGAGGCGGTTTTGTTTGCAAAGACAAATTTAGGAGTATCTAACCTTGTTTTGAAAGATAAACAGATTGAAACTCTAAATAAAGACAGTTTACTTACAATGACAAAGAATTTATTGCAATATTACCCACTAGTACATATTATTATATATCGCTTTTACCGGATTGGCAGAAGTTTACATTTTGCTAAAGACACGTGTTTACATAAAACACGTGCGTGCTCGGGTTATTTTTACTCTGTTGTGTACACAAATCGTTAGTCCGGCGGATAAGTCCCTACCAAAAATGATCACGTGGGCGTTTTAAATGGCGGCTAATTGGGGCACCGGCAGTGATCATAATGACGTAGATGGATCGCTGCGTGCAGTTTGCTGAACTACTAGAGAAGATACTGTATGTTCACTCTGTCCTGAAAACTTGATAATAAGCTCTTTTTTGGATGGTTTAACGTTTGATTTTGAAGTTATGAATACATGACACGTATCAATTTCATAACTTTTGTCGTTTGAGTGTTCACAAGATTATACAAAGTGAAAAGAGGGCGATAACTTTATCAGTAATTAACAGAATTATAGTTGGAGTTACAACATACGGTAATTAACATATATCAATTTTAATAAAATCAGATCATAAATTTAGGACTGCGTAGAAATTGCGAACAATGGACAGAGACGACGACCACATTTCCAAGGGGGTGTATAAATAAAACAATATAGTAGCCTATTTTTTAAAATACCAACAACATACATTTCTAATAAGCAGTCAATTTAAACAATAAAAAAAAAATTACATGAACTGATGAACACTAGATTTTCTCAAGAGTGATACTGTACTACAGCTCAAAGTCGGATCCCCTATTCACTTCAGATCTAATTTTTATCGATATACCGGTATATATGTTATAAAGAAAGGCAATAGCTAGGCAATGAATTAAATTTGGTTAGATCCTAAGATCTACAACAGGCCTGCTAGTGCTTGGCTAGTTTTATCAATTTTATGCCATTACTGCATGTAGTAGCCTATAAACTAAGCTTCAAATTTGTATCATTTTCACTCATTATATTATTTTTATATTAACATGTAGACCAACAAAAGAAGATAATTGTTCAGCTCAGTGGTTCCTGGAAAGTGTTTGCTGTTTTCCATCTTTAACGTTCCAAGTGATGAATGGGTGAAGCTTTTGGCCTGGTGTAACAACACACTCATTTCTCTTCTGTCATCTGACTGGCGTAAAACTATCGCTTTCCAGGGCAGAAGTAGAAATAATTTAGCCTGGGTTGGATTTATAAATCTCAGTGGATTTATTATTTCGGATATTTGTAGAACTGAGCAAAATGAAATACCCACCTTCGTGTAGAAACTTCTCTTAATCCAATGAGTTCAAGGCCGTCTGCAAACTGCATTAAGATACCTTCAGTGTAAAGGGAAATTCATCTTTTTCTTCCTCCAACCTCGTGCCGTGTTTGTTATTTTTATACACATATAATTTTCATTGGCGGAGAACGATCACGTGATATTCTGACAGCGGGAATGAACACGTGGAGAAAGACACCTGTTATACGAGACTAAATCAAAAGTAACAAATTTCAACAAATATTTTCGTCTAGTTGATCTTATCTATTATATTTTCGTTGGCAATATTTGTTTACATAAAGTTCAATGGGGCATTTGACAGAATTTAATTATATTCTCAAGCGGAGAATGGAAATTGCCATTATTCACACCGACTAAGATTACCATGGACCAGATTTTTTTTTCTTCTTATCCTCGTTATAACTGAGACCAGATCTAATTTCAGCTATTATTTTCGAAAATGTGAACGCCACATACGATCGAATCTCGATTTTTGTCCTATCCGAACGACTAGACGCTGTCCACACCGGATAATCTCGATTCTCGAGTATGAAAAATACTGCAAAACTGGGTGTGAAATAGTTTTATTTAATGCCCACTTCCACTGAAGTGATATCGCAGACCCAACTTTATTAATGTCAATGTCATGTGTTTATTATGTAGATGTGAAAATATGGCTGAAAAGTTCTAAGCACGAACAGGGTAGATCAATTTTCGGGCAGACGGATAAAGTGGAAACAAAAATTATTATTTCACCTAGTTAGCAAAATTAAATGCCCGAAATGTAATAAAACACTAATTTTACTTTTCTTTTAATTGAATACCACGAATTCCTACTGAATTGACTACGGATTAAAACATTTTGTCTGGAGTCACTCTACTTTGTGCGACATTTTTCGGGCATCAATTATTATTTGTGAATGCAACTGCAACAGTCCAAATTGCGTGGTTTGAATTCGGGTCGGCATAGAGTAGGATTTCGGTTGTTGCAAAATGATTGCTTAACTGACGGGGCAGGCCCGTAGCCAGCGGGGTGCAGGGGGGGGGGCCGAAAAAATGTTTTGCCCCCCCCCCCCGAAAAAGGATTTGCCGACCATAGCCCTAAAATACCTACCGTAGACTGTGCCCCCCTAAAAACATCACTGCCCCTCCGAAGGTAGCAAGCTGGCTACGGGCCTGCTCACGGGCTATAGTAGAAAAGCAGAAACGCATTTGTGGCAGTTAAATTTTAAAAAAAGTTCTCGCCGAGGGCGACGATTAGGCTATATTGGACAACATTAAAATTTCTGTATTCACAGGCTGTAGTAGCTGTCAAATTTTCCAAATGTTCTTTAAATGGGTGGGGATGAGCGTCCCTACTCGCTGTTTGTAACCCGAATTTTTTTCGGGGATTTCAGGTTCTGCCCCCCCCCCCCCAACAAACATTCGTCGAACCCGTACGCTTCTGCGAGCAAGACTTACAATCACTGAATGAATCATAGACATCAAGTACCTAAAATGATGATGCCCTTAAGTATTGTTCGTCTCCAAACAGTATTGTTTACATTGTAATCGTTTGATAGCCTCGTTTGTCACGCAATTAGTTTTTCTGCAATAGTCTGCTATGCACTGGTTAATTGCGCAGAATAGCCGGGTGATTCTGTTACGCATTTGGCTATTGGTTGTTAATCGGACTATTGACCAGTCATAATTTGGAACAGAAATTTGCTTCCATTACAGCAGTGTTAAGTGGGATTATTAGGTCTAATCAAACAAAACACTGCGAGGAGTATGCCTAAAGAATCAATTTCAAATGTTCCTATTATTAATTAGAACTTGCTTCTCTTTTATATTTTACGCTGACGTGTATTGCGTTAAACCTTCCTAGTGCAAAATCCGGTTTCTTCCCACTACTAAAGACCCCTACGCGCAAGCGAATTATTGAAATAAAATTAAACCATATGTTAGTCCCGAAATGACCTAGTTTGTGTCGAGTGGACGTTAAACCCCATCTCTCTCTCTCTCTCTCTCCTAGTGCAAAAACAAAAAACTTGACCCTTTGACCTCCGGGGTCACAAAGAACAAAGGTGAATTTAGCAAGTTTTTTTTTATTGAAAAGTGATTAGTTTCGATCATTTTCAGCATGTTTTCATGATACAAGAATGGCCGCGTATTCACTTTCAGCGTAAATGACCTCTTTTGACCTTTGACCACGAATATCTCGAAAAGGCCCCAAAGGCGGATTGATTACCACTCGACATCGTATTCTACCCCAAGAAATACCGTTGAGGTTCGCAAGTCCGTCCGTTTGACATTTTCTTCTCTGGCTGCATGGATAAACTATATCAGGCGACGGACGGTATCTGGTCTCTATTTATCTCGACAATCGGTACCTGACTGAATATTGTCACACAACATTTTCGGCAGCTTTTTTTTAATCAAACATTTCTGGCGGCGCCAGTGGGGGGGGGGGGGGCATAAAAAAAGTATTTGTGATACGTTTCGGTAATCAATACCTTCTACGGTGAATAAATCCCACATCCCCACTCAGTCATAAACTTGCATGTTGTAGAGCATTTCCGACAGTCTATTTTTCAAAATTTTCTTGGCGAGGTCCCCAATGGACTCGCTACTTTGGCGCTCACAAGGAGAATTCGTTGAGGTTCGCAAGTCCGTTCGTTTGACATTTTGTTCTCTAGTCGGATAAACTAGTGATCAGGCGACGGACGGTATCTGGTCAGATCTATTTATCTCGACGATCGGTGCCTGGGAATACTGTAAGACAGCATTTGCGGGAGTCTATTTTTCAAAATTTTCTGGGGGAGGACTCCCTACTTTGACGCTCGTGAGTGGGCTTCGTCGTCATTCGCAAGTCCGTTCGTTTGACACTTTACCTCATCGATCAGTGCCTGAAATACTGCCAGGCTACATTTCCGGCAACCTGTTTTTTCAAATTTTCCTGGGGGAGGCCCCCTACCCATAGTTGAAGCTCGTGCCTTTGCCCCCTTAACCTTGGACTTTGCCCAGCTTTGCCCCTCCAATCACCGGCGGCTTGCGCCGCCACTGTTGGAGCCCCCTTCCCCTCCTACCCCTACCCCCCTAGTTGAAACCCATGCCTTTGGCCCCTTAACCTTGGACTTTAATGCCCCAGCTTTGCCCCTCCAACCACCGCTGGCGCCACCACTGCTCCAGTCTATAACGAAACACTATATTTTGAACACGAGGGTTATGTCATGTATATTGACTGTCAGTTATTATTGTGAATACACTTGCAGTACACAATTTATACTGGAAAATGTTGGTGTTATAATCAACATATTAAACAATGTATATTTAATCATCGTTCATTGTCCCCAATATGGGAAGTTAACTCAGCTTTGCAACCGCTTGATGTATTTGAAGAAATAAATATCAAAGATATTTTTAAATTTAAAATTAATTTAACATTTTCAAGTTTTTGGCTTCACATGTTTCTACAAAGAAGCATTTTTGTGAGGATAGTAACAGTATTATAATTTTATTTCTAAAGCGCAGCATTATTATAACAATAGTCTCCATGTAATTCTACTTCGTCATGACGTCACTATAAAATCATGTGAGATATGCGCATGCGTATCAGAATCAGTTATTGCTCACGTTTCAGAGCAGGAAGACGACTTTTTTGTTTTCCGCAAAATTAGGCCTAAACAGAGTTTGGTGGTCAAGACTCTATCTACCATTCTGTGTGCTGACTCAGTCATGGCAATTTTTTACAAATCTTTTATTAGATTTTGGGGACTTTTAAGGTCAAACTTGGCCTTTTTCTTTTTTCCCACCACGTGGATTGAAGTTTCAAGATGGCGTCCGACTCGGCGAGCTTAAACCAAAATGATGTAACAGTAGCAGCGTATGAAGAGATCTATCACGAAAATAGACCTAGTGCGTGTAACACTACTGACAACGGGAAAAAAGATGATGAAATTTTACCCCTTATCAAAACATTGATGATAATATGACGATGATGGCTCAAAGTTTGCAACAACTGACTAAAAGACCATCAAGTCCTACTTCAGGCAGTTCTACTTCTAGTAGGCCTAGTACTAAACCATGTACCACTACAAAGCGTAAGCTTGAAAATATGGACATGGAATTTGACAGTCCTTTGTCCGATGCAAAACTGAACAGGGTCAGGCATACTATTTCGGACTCCGAATCAGAGGATGTTGTCAGTGATGTAGATGATATGTCCATCCTTATGCCCAAAGCAAATGAAAGTGAAAACCAGGTGGACAACAGTGAGGCTTTGGATACATTGGTCGAGTTAGAGGCTGAATATGACTCTGATGAGAGGCTAGGCCCCTCGGCACCTGAAAATATAGCCACTTTAGTAAACAAAAGATGGGCTAATAAACTCATTGATGAAAAGCTCAAAAGCAGGATGGAACCACTTCTAAGACCCACAAATTGTCAGAAACTTTTAGTTCCAACCATAAACCCTGAAATATGGCGAAAACTGTCAAATTATACAAAAAGACAGGATATAAGGATGGCCAACACACAAAAGGCACTAGTTAAGGCCTGTATCACAAACATAGAAGTATTAGACACTATGTTAAAAAGCAAAAATATTGATGAAGAAAATATCAGAAAATTGTCTGATGCTATAGCTTTTTTAGGCCATGCATCTTTTGACCTGTCTATCAAAAGACGTGAAATGTTAAAGGGGTCTCTAAGCAAAGAGTTTCAAGTCATTTGCACTGCTCAAATCCCAGTTACAAGTTTCTTGTTTGGGGATGATCTTAATAAAACTCTTAAAGAAATAAGAGAAGTGAATAAGATTAAGGCCACTTCAACCTTCAGTCAAGAACAGAACTATGGGCATGGTTACAATTCTAATAAGAGGCATTTTTTAGACAAACGCCAGAACTCGTCGTACGAGAAATATCGGAACCACAGGTCCAACAGAGGGAAAGGTTATTGGCCCAAGAAAGACAGGGGGAAGAACAAGCCCTCAAGCTCAACATCCAACTAGATCACCAGGCAGGTACATATGAGGCATTCTGTGCCAATTTAATTGAAATTTTAAGATTTCAAGTACACAGCTTCATTGCAGGTGGGCTAAAGCATCATTTAGATCAATGGAG